CTCTGGAAGCTGACGCTGGTTTCAACTAGGCTGATCTTGACACTCAAACTAGGAAAGCTCAGCCACAAGGGTGAGCTGAACTTGTGGCTAGTTCTGGGAATATTTCTAGCCAGGGACATTTTTAATTGATTCAGTCCAGATTGGAGCAGGCTGTGGCTATCCCAAGGTCTGCTTGATCTGCCTTGTCCCACGTTGCACAGAAGTCAAACAAGGCTCTGGTCAGGAGGGGATCACTTGGCAGCAGAAGCAGAGCTAGGGGTGACTTAGTGCCCACTTCCTTCCCTATCTGCAGCCGAGCAGCTCTTTCTCTCGCCACACTTGGTCCTTTTGGAATAACAGATCAACCCAAGTCAGAAATCGAGGTAGGATAAAGAGCCTTTTTGTTCTATTCTTTCCATTGTAATTTCAAACCCTGTAACTGCAGGGATACCTGTATCCTCACAACAGAGCTCTATTTCACTCCTGGATTTTTCCTACCCTCATGGTCCCTCCTTCTCATCTCTTTCCATTTCTTCCCTCTGCTCCGCTTTACCCCACGTAATCTCCCTTTCTTTTGCTCCTCCTGCTTCCCTTCTTCCTTTCCCCCATCTCCAGCCCTGTACCCCTTCTCACTGCCCTTGCTTCTCAAAAGAGGCTTCTGTCCTTTTCTTTGTCCCTGCAGCACCCACCTCTGGCCAGAGCAGATGAGAAGCCCGACTGCTCTCATGTGGCAGGCTCCAGTGCAGCACAGCAATTTTCACAGCACCAACGCTCCTGGTGAGCCTGTTTTCCATTCACTACTCAGGTAGTTTAGTAATACTGACAGGGGATACAGGCAGACCCTCACACAGGTAAGGCCTTGCTTTTCTGAAACAAGCCCACACCTAAAACTAACCTCTAGGAGAGGTGTTTGTCTTTTCATGGGTCTATAATCACCAAGCTTACCAGGGCAGGGTATAAATAATTTTCTTTATTGGCAAGGTTCAACTATGTGCTCAGCCTATAGAAGACACAAAGATGCAGAAAGTTCTTGTCCCAGACAAAAGACAAACATGGGGGAAACGGGAGCTAAAGGTAAAGGACAGAGAGAGTCGTATTTTTCAAGTATTACTTTCCATTCTGTAGGTGTTACAAACAGGACTGAGGCTTAGAGAAGGCTCTGAGAAAGATAGCAATGACCTGGAGACAAGATGTTCACAGCTCTTGTGTGCTCCTGATCCCACCTGATTTTTAGGGCATTTCCTGGTCCAGGTCTGACCACTGAAAACAAGAATCCAGCAGCGTGTTGCTGCGAGGCTTACTCGCATGTCCTCAGAGACCAATACCTAGCTGGCTGTTGAATGGGTTCTTTGAAGACCTTTTCCTTCTGAACGCCAGAAACTACAGAATCCACATAGTTCTTGGGAATGGCCTTTGCTGAGGTAGTTTGTTGGCCAGGCAAGCCCAAGCGCCAAATGAATGAGCTGCACAATAAAACATTTTCCTCTTTCTCCAGGTTCCTGACTCTTCTGAAGAGTTTCTACACGCTCGTCAGAGAACTCTCTGCAGTAACCCAGCAAGGCTGAACATGCCCTGGATCTTCAGAATCCCAAAGGAGGACAAATGGAAGTGAAGAAGGGTCAAAACGGTTCTGAAAAGACACAACAAATTCTGCCCAAAGGAACATGGTCCACAAGGCAGTGTAGTATCGATATTTCAGTGGTTATCTGAGCAGCCCACTGAGAGGGGCCCTCAGGAAAAGACCATATTTTGGTTTGATATCTGAACATGATATTTTAAAAACATGTTTCATTAAAAAACATGTATTCATCAGTAGTGCTTAAGAAGCAAAGAGGGCAGGGTGCAACCCAGCTGGGGAAAAAAAGGAAGAGAAACATGTGCACTGCAAATTCACAAATATTTTCCACTATATCCACATGGGAAGGAAATTTCAGAGTTTACTCCCTGTACTGTGGGTTGCCACAGCTTGGTGGGGCTAAGAGGGAGATTTCACTCTGGGTCCTCCTGAATGCTGATCATGCTGCTTTTCAGGGCTGTCTCTGCAACAGTAGAGGGAAGAAGATGATTTGAAGTCAAGGAGGTCAGAATTAGGGTTCAGATTTCTAGACAGTTGGAATATAAATGTGCTTCCTTAAGCCTGATCAGCTAGGAAGGATAAAATACAATATTTTTTTTTTTTTTACCAAAAAGCAAAACCGATAGATGTGCCCATAAAATAAATCATCACCGCTTTAATTTCTACGTTAGTGGCTTTTAACTCATATTGCCACCGACAGAAACTTGCTTGCAACAAAGTTCTTGTTTTGTTCATGCAAACAATTAGTTCATCCTACCAACATGGTAACTCTTGGCTAATTATGTTCTCAAAGAACCACCCATGCCACTCACCCTGCCTGCCAATCATTCCTAGAAGTATTGCCTTTACGTTTTGTACAACACTAAAACCACTGCTGGCTCTGAATTAAGATAACAAGAATACTAATGATAATACTAATTCTTCTAGCCAGGTCAGATGCTCGCTTTCCCACTCTGACCACAACACACCCTTCCAGCTGTTTGAAGAACAGATTGCAAGGAGAAGGGAAAAAACTATTTCTGCAGTGCTTACTCTGTTTCTGAGCAGAACAGCAGGGTGACTTTTTAAAGCCCTCAGCACTGGGCTGAGCGCCAGAACCATCTCCGATATGAGCTTCCTCTGTGGTCTCATCTCCTCCTTTATAGCAGATTTAAAAGCCACTTATTTCCCACCAATGACAAGCAATGACACAAGAATTAGTTAGTATCTTGACGGTGGTTTGGAAATACGAAACGCCAGTCATTATGACAGCTTCTCAAACAGCGGAAGTTCTAGTACAAACTCACTCCATCTCAAATATTACATGAGAAAAAACCCACCCTAACCAATCCAAACCCAGAAGACAAGTCTTGAGCTTTAAGCTGTCAAATAGTTTCTCCCTTTAAATTTCTCCCTTGATTGGAACCTCTTAGAGTGGCTAGAAAAAAAAAACAACACATTTTCCTCTGCGTTTAGCTAATGCCAATTCCCCTTCCACCCTATTGTTGCTAATTGGGCAGAGATAACCCCAATTCACTTGTGTCTCTGTAGCACCATCATTGCCAGTGTCAGTGCAGCCCTGGGAATGCTCCTTGCCTATTGATGGATACTGCTGCAGAGCCAGGAAGGAAAGCATCCAAACGGGATGAGCGAGAGAGAGAGAGAAAACTACCTAGCAGCATCGAAAAGTCTTAAGTCGAGATCATTTCTCTGCCAGGTAATGATTATCTAAAAGCGTCCTTTTACAGTCTGGAACACAAATGCTCTAACAAATGGGACATAAAAGTCTGCACTTATCTACTCGGATTCTGGAGACAAGCAGATGCCTCAGAAAAGCAGTAATGGCTGTTTTAACATCTCCTGTCTGGTTAACTGCGCTCAAATTTAAATACGGCTACCAGTGAATTTCACTTCCATCCCCTCCTGAACTGGCCAAGAAAACAGAGGACTCTCAAGTCTTCAGGCATAGCTTGCTACCCCCAAAGAGCGCAGTGCTTCCAAGAGAGCTCAGAAAATAACATCAAAAATTAAGAAGAGGAGAACCGTGAAGACTCAGCACACCTATCCCTAGGGACTGTCTCTTACCAGGAACGTACTCGATGCTTCAGAAAATGATGTTAAGAATTACTCAAGTGGCCAACTAGAGAACATCCTGGCCAAAAAGGCAATTTCTCCTGAGTAGCTGGCTGTTAGCTGCTAGCTCATATTCTTAAGAAAGAGGCTCATGTTCAGTTTGGTTTCTCCCGTCATCCCTTGAAGTACATAGTCCTTTGTTTAAATGCAGTGGCTTCCTGGCCCAGTGCTGCCCTATGGTAACAACCCCCACTGGTAACTGGGTTGATGCAAGGACATTTTTAGTTTGATCAGTTTTGACGTCATCCGCCCAGCTGTTTCCCTGCCTCTTCTACTAACTTATCCTTGCAGCTCTGCTAGTTCCAGAACAGAACTCAAACATCAAAAGACAGAGTCGAGGTTATCACAGGTTCAGCTAAGAAGTGCACGTAAGAGTCACTTTCCCAACTACAGACAAATGTGAGAACTCGGCATATCAGTTCTGAGCTCAGAGCTGAAAATAGTGCACGCTCCTATAGAAGGAACAGAAGTCCTTAAAGGGCAGAAGGGCAACCTAAAGGAGAGGGAAAATAACAGCTCCAAGAATCCCGCAGAAGCATACTTGGCTGTGGCAGCAAAGAGACTCTCTCAGGCTACGTAGCGTCTGGAGTATTCACTTCTTCTTGCTCAGAAATGCATCCTTGAAATCCATAGCTTTCCTCTCTTCCACTAGAAACAGCTGAGCAGGTCTGCCTTGCCACCCAACGCATGCTCTCAAGAGCACCACACCAGGGACTCTGCCTCACTTTGTGTGTGTAGTGGCTCAACTCTGCTCCCATTGGAAGTAAAGGGAGTTTTCCCAGTACTTCCAGTGGAAACAGGGTTTGCCCAAATGTGTATACGCAGTAATGAAACGAGGCGGCTCTGGGACACAACCCTAAGTGGCCAGAATCAGCACCCTGAACTGAGACAGACCCCACAGTAACAGGAAGCAAAGGCGAGCTTTGCTATCTCGAGTGAAAAGATTGTACAAAAGAGGTGAACTTCTTAAACAAGAGGATGCAACAGAAGGCAATTTCAGTCCAACCAACTCACTGCCTTTCACTCTCAAACTCTAATCAGTCCATATCACAAAACTATAAAAGCCTTAAACAAGCACGCTGCCAACTGCTTTCCTCTGGGTTACAAACACATGAAAGAACCGGGGAGCTACGTAACAGCAGAGACAAGCCTGGCAGATCCTCCAGGTGGGGTGAGATCCAGCACTGTAGGATTTGATTCTCTTTAGAGTTTAGCCAGTAACATGTATGGTATAATCTATGGAAACTGTCCCATTGGATTTTAAAACACAAACACAGCAGAATGTCATCGTAAATAAGCAAAGTCTGTGTTAAAAAATTCTAAGTACACAGCGTTTTCTCCAGTTCTGACACCTTTTTAATAGAAATCACTTGTTTAGGAAACAAATAGCACTTTTGTAATTTTTTTTACAATGTTTCTTACCTTGATCTTATTTTAAGTAACACTAGGAAGACCTCAATATCTTTTATTTTCCTTTTTAATTTAAAAAAGTTGTTTTTTTTTTCCCCCAGATACAAAGATTTTGCCCTTGCATAAAAAAACAGTGCCCAAAACGATGACACAAGGACTCACAAAGACTCACTGTATCTCACTGACACTATTACTTCTAATCTATACCATGCAAGGTCCCATCTACCTCTTTAATTAGACTGTCAGCCTGAAAAACAGCTTTTCTATTCCTTATTTAGTTCTTGTTACCAAAAGAAGAGAAAGGAAGTGAAAGAAAAGGACGTTTCTCTGTTCAGTTCACACATCTGGGTCATGTGCTACTTTGTTCAGGATACCTTTGTTGTTTATAAATATAGAAAAGGGCTGGAATCTCATTTTCAAGTAATCGATGCGCATTTTCTCTTGGGACACCTCCGTCCACTGCTCCAAGCTGAACCTGGATTCTGGCCCTCTGCTTTCCCATTCCCAACACAGGCTTTCTGGATGAGTGTGAGGACCCAAACCAATTCTGCAAAGCGTGTCTGTTGTTTAATGTGAAGAAACAGGATTAACCCAAAGCTGTTGGGACAGTAGATCCTCAGCCTGTACATGTGCTGGTTACTCAGTGAAAAGTCCGTCTCCTTTCCTTTTGTACATCTCCTGTCTAAACAATAGTAAATACTGCTTATTTGATAGACTTGTCCCTTCTGGGCACTGGGATTTGATAATTTATATTTCTGTTTTTTTGGTTTAATAGTACTGAGAGTTTAGAAACAGGAAAAGCCCACAGGCTCTTTGGACTTGTTTTTGTTTTCCCCTAGCTAAACAAACTGTTCTGCAAATAAGGATTTGAAACCTGCTCTCCTCCCTCATCCCTGCTCCTCACCCCAAACAAAAATAAAACAAACCTATAGTGGCTGTGGAGGCTGCTGCAGGCACACACTGGTGTAAAATATAGAGAGAGTAAATATATTATTTCACTTGGCATGGTGCTGGCAAAGAACCCCCAGCTGGCACTATTCATGTAACATGATCCAAACTTTGCATGTACACACAGAATAAGAAGGATCAATTGGCAAACTCCGGTGCCGCCTGGCACAAGCATCTTCACGCTCTCTCTGGAACCAAAGAACTAAAGAATTCTGCACTTTCCAGAAGAAATCCGGTTTTGCTTTTCTAGAGTTTCGTTATTTTGCTCTTCCTCCTCGCCGCCACCTCCCTTGGCTCCTTCTTAACTTCACTGTGTTATTTAGTCTCATCTCCCTTGTTACAGTTCACCACGCAGCTCTGGGAAGGGGAGGTGGCTAAGGTGGAGGTGGCAGCATTAGTATTGTTAGTGGAGTCCATGCCATTGGAGATGGCTACTGAATTGACCTCAGAGTTTATGGGTTTTGAAAGGTCGATGCCTTGGATGAGGCGGATCAGCTGTTTTACCTTCTCCAAGGAGCTGTGCATCTCCTTCTGTTTTGCAAGGATGGTATTCTTCATTTCCATGCATTTCTGCAGCAAAACAGAAAAGCAGTAATAAGTTCAAGCTTATGAAAGAAAGAAGGTAAGAGAAAGAGTATGATGTTCACAGATCTAAATGCAAGTACGTAGAAAAGACTGCAGCTACAATTTCACTTTCCCAGCCTAGAAGAAAGAGTCTCAGGGTTGTGTTCACAGGAGAATTCGTATTTGCAGGTTGAGGAATTAAATTGCCAGTACGTAGCTGTCACCTGATATGGTCCCCTTTCATCCCGAGTGTTTTGAAAATCCACACAGACAGCTCCATCCTTTTGTGTTCCATTTGAAGGGAAACTTCCAAGTGTATGTTATTATTTTTCTATTAGTATTGCATTGCTGAAATTTCCTATGCTCAGATCTGCAAACTCAGGCATCCTACTGCAGCTGACTGCTGACAGTGTGCGTGCATGCTGCTAATGGGATACAGCCTTTGCTTTTTCATACATTTTAGCAGGAACATCACTTCCTCCTCTCAATAAATAAAGGGGCACTTGAAAAGAAAAACAAGCCCTTCCTCACTTGAAAATCTTATTTTGCGGCCACTTCTTTCTCTTCAAAGTGTTAGTAACCTAGCTAGCTCATCAGTTAAGAGCTGGGGTAAGATAACTTCAAAAAGAGCCCACAAGTGATGTTTCAGGAGAGAAAAACTGCTTATATCTATATTTGAAACTCTCAAAAAGAAGGAGATGGTAGACATGTCTGCAGCATTCGAGTTCCTACATGAAGATGGCAACTTTCCTACATTTTTTAAACCTTTTATCCACGCTGATTTCCGGACACTGTTGGTTTCAGCTTTACTGTTTTCACACCAGTCTGTGGCATCATAAGCCCACAAAATTTAGATCTAATGTGTCTTTTTTGGACAGTTCCAATGAAAGTATAAACAATGACTTGATCATAGAAAATTAAACATTCTCCTTATCTACTGTCAGTCCCTCATGTTAAGGGCTTGCATCTGCCTGAGTACATCACTGAGGAACAGTGTTAGTGCCCTAGTGCTGGCTCAGGTTATACCCAGCTACTGCTAACCAGAAGATGACAGCCTCCAGAACTGCTAACCAGAACCTCTCACCACCTGTTTGCTCACCATTGTTTTCTTTGTATCATCAGAATTTAGGGGTCTTTACACATGAGCCACTTACGTTTGTTCTAACAGGTAAAGACAGGCAGACTAGAAAGTCCATCTGTATTTGAAAAGAAAAGCCTTCCTTATGTATCCAGCCTTACAGATGCTGCCACATAAGAGATTTGAGTATTTTTCCTTCTGTGATACTGGCTAGGGCTATGCCAAGTCAGGGGCTCAAAATTTACACGGGCAACTCAAGATCCTGATCCTATTAAAGTGAGAAGAGAGAGCAAATTAATATGTGTGCTCTGATTACTGTGATAACCTAAGGTGGAAACCACAGCTTCTGCTTAGAAGTAAGCCATCGTCCAATTAATATTATACAGAGGCATGCGCTGTGTCCAGCTGCTGACTGCCAAGGCAACATGTCAAGAGCCCGAGAGTCAGTCATGAGTAAATAGTCATTTTTGTATTAGGAAGGTCTGGAAAGTGCACCAAGACTGTAACTCTTATTACACACCGAGGTCCAATCATTCTTATTTAAGTGAGCCACTGGAGAATTTGAATTAATCTACTGCCCACGGACTGTCACCTGCTGATATTACAGGTCACTGTATGTCTACAATATATGGTCAGTATGGATCATGTGTAAGTGAC